CCAACGCTCATCTAGCCTAGCGAAGGCCGTCGGTCCTCTCCCGGGAGTGCTGAGCTCAGTGCTGAACGAACAGCCTGTTTGCTCTGTTCAATTTGGTTGAGGGCAAAAAGGAGGAGAGGAAAAAAACCGCTGGGCTGTTTGAAACAGCACTGATCCCAGTGCTGTAATAGAGTGAATGGGGAATCCATGAAGGGGAAATAAAGATATATACAAGCTGCACAAAAGTCTGACAAGGGAGCCAACCATAATCCTGTCCTGCTGGGCTGAAGACTAAGTCGTGACTGGGTAGGACTTAAGCCAAGCAGGAGGCGTAGCAACTTTGTCAGACTTAGTCTAATTGGGCAGGAAGACAGTCTAAACCCATTCGTGGATTCTCCATCCTCATGCTGGAGAACAGGAAATTATAACACAACAGATTCAACCTCTACAACCCACCCCCCTCTTCTCAAAGTAAATTACCATAATTGTGCTGGAATTGTACAGACATTTGTTTATAAGTCTTCCTGTAGCCAGAATAGGGAAAAGAAAAGAAGTACAGAAATCTCTCAGGTCTGATCCACTGAGTCTTTTATCCTATTCAGTGTCCTGTTTTAAAGCCACCAGAAGATTTCCCTCACATATCATAAATGTGCAGGAGCTTTATGTACTATGCCTGTTTTGGTGAGATATCTTGTCCTTAAATAAAAAATTAAAAGTTGGGAAAATTTGTTTTCTAGGGAGGGAGCAAACAAAGTATCATATTTTCAAAAAGTTTCCTAAACAATCCTTGGGTAGGCTAGAAAACTCTATCAGGTTTGTGTAAGGCCAAACTGCCTCCCCGGGAAGTGGGAAAAGCTAATCTTTCTAATGTCAGGAATATTTGGGTGCTTAATCACTTTATTTCCAGTGAAGATATTTTTTTTGGCTGCTAAATCGTCTCTTCCCAACAAAACAAAATCCAGAGCTCCTTCAGAAGGAACTGCAACGAAATCCATAGATAGGCTGTTGGCTGAGCAACTGGCTTAACCAAGGAAAAGTCTTAAAAAAGGGAGGGACATTGGAGAGAAAAGAAGAAAGGAGGTATATCGTTCAAAACAATTCTGCAAAGCAAGCCTAATATTTTGGCCTGAGGCTAGCACATCTTTAAGAAGTATCACTAAGAAATGGTATCAAATGAACAGCTGTAATTTCTCCGATTTTGCCTCTGGGGTGGTATTTAAAGGATCCTTTTGAACATGAAAGTTATTGTGCATGGAGCCCTCCAAAACAGAGACTATCAGGTTTGAAAAAGCTGTTCTAAAAGCACAACTTAGGGCACAAATATTCACAGAAATAGTAGATCTACCTGTGTCTTTAAACAAACACCAGGAAGCTTCAGAAATGGAGCGAGAAATTCAACCATAAATGTGGGAATGGACAAAAAATCTGAATTAACTCTCCTCTCTCCCATTCCATAACACTACTTTTCCCACTTCAAAATTATTGCATTCCCTGCTGTGATTTCTTTCATAATGGAAATTCAGATAGCATATTCTATATTGCTTTTTATGGAAGTGAAATAGCAGATTCGTGAAATGGGGATTAGCCAGAAAAAATGTAGAGGGAAAGTCTTCCCTAATTTATCATAATCTTTGCCCCTTATTCAGTTACAACCCTTTACATACCTAGTGACTCTTGCCCTTGTTTCTACTCAGTTTTATCTAGACAATGGAATCAAGGAACATCATTTCTGCCTGTGGATGAGTAGGGTACATTCTTGATTATTTCTTCTGGCTTTCTCTGTTTTTCAAATACATACTCCCATCAACATCTTTGTGCTATGAAATATAGCCTATCAAGGAGAAAGCTAGGTTGTGCCATTCCACTGATAAGGTTCATCCTTCTTACAGAGAAATGATTCTTCCACCCATCACAAAAGCATTCAAAAATGTGACTCTTTTTCTTATTAGTCCTTGAAATCGTGGGTGGCTGTACCTTTAGGCAGAATGATTGTAAGTGCCATGAAAGGACAGCACATAGTTAATTATTCAGTAATGGTAATTACATAAAGGAGGAGAGAGGTATCAATGGGATTTTCTACCTTCAATGCAGATCAGACTCAGATGATTCCAACTCAGGCAAGCCAGAATTCTTGGGTTGTGTGGCACAAGCAGCATGGTCTGGAAAACGCAGGACATAAAGTCCTCCTTCATTTCTGTCAGCCTCTAAAGCAGGCATGTCAAACTCGCGACGTCACGTGATGTTGCGCAACGTATCGGGACTTTTTCCCCATTGCCAGCAATGGGGTGGGTGTGGTCTCGACGTGATGCATCCGGCCCATGGGCCGGCAGTTTGACATGCCTGCTCTAAAGCAACAGTGGTGGATAGATTTGGTGGTGGATAGCCGAGAGCTTGACTAAAGAATGATAAGCAATTGATAATATAAGAGGAAAAGTGCCAGACATTACATAAATTTCAGAGGCATGTGGGAATTCTTCATCCACACAGGGAACTGCACCTGTCTCCTGCCTTACAGAGGTAACTTCCTAGCGAGTGAATTGCAGAATAAAGTAGGAACATATTCTGCTGTACATGCCAGAGACAATCATGCACGCACACACACATACATACACCGAGGCATCTTTTTTGGTAGTACAAATTTGGCAAGGGCAGAAGCTGCAGCATCACTGTTGGAACTGCACGTGTTGCCTAGAATTTTAAACCCACTCGAGATGTTACGTGCATTAGTAACCAACGTCACAGTTTTGACATCAGCAGGGCTCTAAACTGGCAGCAGAATGAGCCTGCACATTCCGCAGCACAGCCTACGTTAGCAGCAACTGGAGTGGGTTGAAAACACCCATTATTTTTGATAACTGAAATTCTTATTTCTTCTATCGCAATCCAAATTTTGACACACATAATTCTGGACTGCATTTGCAGATGCATGTAACTGATCGTAAGAGGTCAGGCTTTGGGAAAACCTTCCCCGGCCTTCCAGATATGTTAGGTTTACACATCCCATTGTTCTCAGCTATATGGAGTTGAGGATTATGGAAGTTGTAGTCTGACATGTGTGTAGAATGCTTTGTTGGAAAAAGTTATTCCAGATGATCTGATTCCCTTTTAAATGTGGTTTCTAATATATATATCAAGCTTCTTTTCAGTCCACACTCTCCTAGGTATAGCAGTCCCTAATATCTATTTTTGGTTTCAGGTCTCAGGAGTGTAAGAACGGGGAAAGAAGTGTGGACATTGTTGAGTGCATTTTCAACTCTAGCAGAGAGGGAGTAAGCATTGGGCTGGCAAAACTAAATTCTAGAGAAGTCAACACTTCTTTTCACTATTGCACTGGCCACATGTTCTTTCTTCCTACCGGAAATATTATCACCTATGTTAAAAAAAAAACCCAGGAATAATATACATTCTTCTTATGAAGGGAGAATACGCTAATTAGCTGATTCAATTAATGGAGCCCCCATTACAAAAGTAATATCCCTCTGTATGCCAGAATCATCTAGGAAATAAGCAGCAAAGAAAGAACATTTCGCTACCCACTGAGTGTATTGCTAGTGGCCTCCTTAGCTCTTGCAATGAAATGCTGATATAGTTCAAGCATTTTTTTTTCTGCCATAGCAAAATAATTTTGTTACCCATCTTCTTCCCCTTCTCCCCTCCAAAGCGTGATCCTAAGACACAAAAGAACACAACTATTATAACACAAAGCCTGTGATTAAAGCAAGTTGTAATAAGTCATCCTGCTGCATTGAAACATGCATGTGAACAGACACACACATACAATGCTAATTTTTGCTACTTTCCAAAGCCCTTGTTCTCCCCAAGACTGTCCTCCTTCATAATTAGATATTATGATTTCCAGATAGTAACCTTTTCAAATTCAATCCCCTTCAATCTCTCTCTCTGTCACTGTCTCTATCTCTCTCTGTGTGTGTGTGTGTGTGTACTGAATGGCAGTGCCCTTATCCTCAGTCTCCTGCACTTATTTCACACTTAACACTGAAGTGATATTTTAGATCCTCACAAACATGTATGTATTGCTAAGATATTTCTTGGTAATCCTATTTACCTTTTAAATTGAACATGAAGGCTATCAGGCCGGGAGAATGACAATAGGGATATACAACCATTTTAAAGCTTTGATTATGTTTTTAAAAATCCAACTTCAAAGAGATCGCACTATTGCATTACTGTATCTCTTACTGCCAGCTATATAATTATCTGCCCTATAACTTGGCCTTCAGATCATAAATGGGACATAGAAAATAAATTCTTAACTCAGTTCTTTAGAGTACTCCTCTACTTAAATGTCAATAAATATTTATATGCACTTGTATATCCAGCATTCATATTAATAAAGGAAAAATCAGTCACCAGGCTGGGAAGATTCGGAAGTGTCTTTTGATGGTAAACAGCTTTCTCTGCTCTCTTCCCATCCGCTCATCCCATACAATTGTAACCACCATGCCACATGCACACAGCAGGTGCACGCCTAAGAGGAATCCCAGAAATATCCAGCAATGATCTACATCGCTCTCCAGATGCGTTGCAGACTATCGATCCGGCAATCCAGCACTTCTAGAGGGCGCCAGATCGGCGAAGGGGCAAAAAGAGCGCGCTACCGCTCACTTCAGACGGACTATACAGTACTGCGGTTGTGATGAAACAGTCAGGAGGATGGCACGCGGCTTGGCTACTGCAGGGAGGAAAAAACAGGCGAAAGAGGAGGAAGCGCGGAGCTGAAATCGGGCAAGATGGGGACACGCGATAGCTCGGGGCTCGTGGAGAACTAGTTATGGAGCGGGGCGGGGCGGGGCGGAAGAACGGACGAGAGGCTCTGTGGGGACAACCAAGGAGAAAACATCTCCACGGTATACAAGTGCTCTCTGCCTCCTCGATCCGGAAAGTCGCTCTGGGAAAGGAGAGCTGCGCTGAAGGAGGAGACGAGGGCTCAGAAAGTGCGCCAATCAATAACTCGCTTAGTTTAGAGAAAGGGAGGGAGACGGGCACCCGGAGATGGCTACCTTTGTTTCTTGCAGGCTGGAACCGGTGCTCGTGGTCTGCTGCGCATCCGTGCTATGTTGGGGGTCGTTCTCCTTTTCGGTGATTTCGGTCATGGTGCGCTGAGCTGGGGGTCCGGAGCTGAAGCAGATGAACACAGTTCTCCGGAAGGGTTGCGGACCGGAGCTCTACCGCCTCTCCTCTCCCACCTTAAATCCAAAGCGCGTCTGCTCCCGCCTCGATGGACCAGGAAGCTTTATTCTCCTGCCCCCCTCCCCCCCCGGGAGAATTTTTTGAGGGTTAACCTCTTCTTCCACTTTAGTTTCCTTTTAGGAAAGCAAAAAACGACCCGTTTTTTAAAGCGACAACAGACGGTCCTCACTCTAGAAAACTCTGAAGCTGCTGCTGATGGGTCTCCTTACCACTCGGACCTCCCCTTTTATGCAAATCGAAACAGAATTTACAACCCCACGTAGTTACTCTCCCCTCCCCTCTGACTAGCGCTGGTAAAGCTTCCTAGTCTGTACGCTCTGGAGGTTCTTTCAAGTTTGTCATAATCGGTATGCGTGTGTGTGTATATGTATGTATGTATATATGTATAATATAATTAGAGACACATATGTATGTATATATATAAAATCACCAAATCTCTCAAACACACCACTACTTTTATTAAGATATGAGTTCGTTAACCTTGCCCTTTTCTTTTGATGTGGTAATAGTGAATGTTAGATCAGGGGTCCCCAACCTTGGCAACTTTATGACTGGTGGATTTCAACTCCCAGAATTCCTCAGCCAGCATAGCTGCAAAGAACAGCTGGCTGAGGAATTCTGGGAGTTGAAGTCCACCAGTCATAAAGTTGCCAAGGTTGGAGACCCCTGTGTTAGATAACCTTCTCCCACAGACCATTATGCCCCACAAAATAGACGGATGGACACTCTTTATCAATAGATGGATCCACACTAAGAAGTTATATGTGTACCTAAATCTGACAGAAAAAGAAAGAAATTCTAAAACTATAGTATTCAAAAGAGACAATCAACAAACCAAAAAGGGAGCAAAAAGACCAAAACACCTCCTTACCAGTAATCAGCATCCAGATAAGCATAGATTAATTTCAAGATTAACGTCAGACCAAAAATCAAGTAAACAATACCCCAATCAAGGAACTGCCAAACAAGCAAACAGTAAACAAGCAAACAGTAAACACCAAAGAACCTCTGAGACCACCAACACCAACACTGACAGGTCAAGCCACTAGAGTGTAAACTGAGAGCCAATCCCACTCCTTACTAGCACTGATGATGTTATCTAGTTTGGGTAATGAAACCTCTGCAAGAAAACAACCAAGCTCAGAAAGCATGATGACCTATTCCTAATCTGGGCTTTAAAATTGTGCATTTATCACCACTGTAATTGATAGTGCACCTCACTGCTGGCTGTCCTTGCTTCTACTTTTAAATCTGAACATACCTGATTTAATAAATTGACCGTTTATCGGATTATTTCCCTTTGGAGGAAAGACAGCCAAAGTCTGTTGAATGCCTAACATCTTCAAGTATGAAATATCATATTTTGATGCTAGTCCACTAATCTTTCCATCATTTATCTAAGTATAGTGGGAGCTTTAAAGCAAAGTGAGCAAACTAGCTAGCTCTACGGTACCATATTGTACTACCCCCTTGAGCTTTCTGTGTTCCTGCAAACGGTAGACAACCCTGTGAAATACTTGCAAATAAACTTTTCCTCAGTTCCCAGTTCTGATAGGATTAAAATACTATGGCAACTCCATGTTGCTCCTTGTTCACACGATACCAACTTTTCTTGCCCCTAGGCCAGTGATGGCGAACCTTTTATAGACCGAGTGCCCAAAAACTGCCCCCCCACACCCCTGTCCCCGCTCCGCCGTGCCCACTGGGCCACCCACCACCTCCACGGCCCACCACAGATCACCCAAGTAGCCCAGCAGCGCGGAGTCTTGTCCCTGCTGCCCGGCTACCATGTGCTTGGCTGCGCTGCTTCATGTGGGCCATGCCCGGGGGCAACTCTCCTCCGGGGGGCTGCTGGTGAGGAGGGGGCCGTGGGAGGAGGCGGGGCTGGGGCGACGATGCGTGTGCCCATAGAGAGGGCTCCGAGTGCCGCCTCTGGCACGCGTGCCATAAGTTCGCCACCACTGCCCTAGGCTGTCCCTTCATAGGTCAGCAAATAAGCTCTTTTATTTAAATGATTTTGTGCAATTGTATGAAAATCCTAAAGTTGTTTTTGCAAAAGACAGCCAGACTTCTTTGTTTTTTCTTTGAAATTTTTTTTCTCTCTGAAAATGTTTTGCTTCCTAGTTGCCATTTGGAAGAGCACCTTTGGGACAACTGTGACCTGGATGATTGAAAATCTCCATAGACAAATTGTATGGAAACTTTTTTTGTCTTTTATCTTGTGTCTCCTTTTGAGAACTGTGATCAGGCCAGCTTTGATCAATTTTGGGTGGAGGGACTGAGCCGTCCTCCTTGCCTTAAGATATTCTCACCTCACCCCATTCATAACAATGAAAGCAATGCTTTTTGGGGAGAGCAGCCAAAACAATAGCAAGAGCCAGGCGAACTGGCAAGATTTTCTTTTTGAACAGCAAGAGTTTCTCACTCTTAAGAAATGCAAGTGAAGGCAAGCTCTTACCTCTCTTCCTTTTCAAGATATCACGTGAGGGGCTTGATTTGTTCAGCTCTTAGCATGCTTGTGTCTGCACAAATTTCAGTTTCAGGCTCTTAGGAAAGTTTGCAGGAATCTTTCAAGTGAGTCCCGTTGGGAGAAGGGCGGGATATAAATCAAAATAAATAAATAAATAAATAAATATTCCTCCCTTTCAAAGTACTCTTTTCTGGGCTGAGATTCCTCTTTAGGAAAGAGGAGCATTATTCCTGTTTGGGGGAGATTCCATATGCCTTGCTATTGAAAGTGGAATATGGAAAGCCAACATAAGGACATTAGCTAAGGTGTGGCTATTCCTCACAACTGAATAAAATGCTACCCACTGTTCCTTCAGTGGGAAGAACATAACATCAGCATAACATTTGTAATTCTTATTCTTAATGCCTATTATGTCTTTTGTGCATCTATTCCAAACCATTATGTTGTTCTGATGTCAGTTGTTATATGTAAGATGGTCAGTTTTCTCCCCCAGATTTGCTGCTCCTCCCCCCTTTCAGCATACGATACATACATACATCTATCAATGGGGCACTGTAGCAGAAATGGATTTCTCACAGTCACGTAAGGAGGGTTAATGGATAAAATATGTATCATGATGCTAATTTTGCTCCTACAAACCTCTGTAACTCATGGCACAAAAAGACTGAGCTTCTGCCATGACATACCAGCATGGTAATTTTAGTTAGATTCAGACATCTATTTCACATTTCATTGGGTTGTCACTAAGTCTGGAGAAAGCGACAGCAATAGCTCAGTGTCTGCAATGCTTGTTGAAGTAGTTAGATCCTATGAGGAAATTGAAACTGACACAACTTTGTAACTACATATGTCTCTTATTTCAGAGAAGTGGGTGCCATGAATAACTGAAATGGATGAATACAGGAAAACGGAGAATAAATGAATAATAAACTAGTTCAATATCCTCTTAATTTTCTGGATGCTACTACAAGAAAAGTGGAGTTGCTTCACCCTGTAGTATAGATGTCCTGATGGCATTTCAAAATATTCAAAATAGGAGATTGTACAAACTTGTCTCCTCTTCCTCCCCATGCACGTTCTCTTCAATCTAAGAGAAGATGCACAGGTTACAAAATGAACAAATGGGGAAAGTGATGGTGACAAAAGGAACTCAGGAAATGTACTGTAATAGATAGGACAAAGTTGGGAGAAAGATGGCTGCAGGTGGGCTACCTAGTGATTAGAAGGAAATGGATTACCTGACCTCATGTAATGATATGTGGGAATGACCTTGGGAGACAAGAGGAAGAATGACAAACTAGACAGTGGTCAGATAAGAAGCAGCTGAAACTGCAGAAGGAATGAGGGTGTGGCAAACATCTCAGAAGGGACCGTCCCTACTTTCTGGGATTGTATGCAGGAGATGATGTATTTTCAGACTTGCCAGATTCTGCCAAGTCTGAAAGTACAGATGCATTCTTACAATAAAGTTAAGAGTACTACTTCTGGGCATGTTTCCTGCCTGGAGCATCTCATCAGCCTGAAGCTTTACCTCCAAAATAATGGATTTTACAAATTTTGAATTATGGTGAGATAGGGTTGCCTTAATACGGAACAGACTATTTTTACCTTCATTCATTAAGTGGCAATTAAGGCTGATTCTTTCTGAATTGGGAATGAGGACAATCTGAACAAGGGGGAAGCTTGCAGTTGTTAGGGCAGGATGTTGCTGCAGTAGGCCTAAGAGTAAGAAGAATTATGGGAAACATTTATTTGCTTCTTGTCATGTTTGGTGTCTTGCATTTCTATGGTTCGAGCCAGGCTTCCTGAGTGAGAGCAAAGACCTCTTTGGAGATTGTGGCTAAGACTGTGAGATGCAGAGATGAAGGTCAGAGGAAGGAGGAGAATGGGTGTTCGTGATCCCTGCATAATATGCATCTGGCACAATCAGTGCACAGGGTTGGTGGTAGCTGTATGAGTAAAAAGTGGTGGGAAGCATATGAATAGGTCGGGTGAAGTCATCAGGCGGATGGAATAAACAGCCAAAAGTATTTCCCCCCCCCCCCCCGATTCTGGGGGAAGAAAACCATAAATTATCTTACTCTGTTGAAATGTGAGTGTGCTTTTTTTAAAAAAAAATATAAGATGAGTGTGTAGGAAGGAAATGAGCCATTGTCTACATCAATGACCTTGCAATGAACACAAGAGCACCCCGTTCCTCATCCCTTCTATCCCCTACTTTCCTGGCAAATTACAGCAGCTGTTCAAAGGGAAGATTATCCCCTCACCCCAAAGAGAGAAGGCAAGAAATCCCTGGGACTGGCATCATTGTTGTTAGAAGGGGGAGGAAGAGAATTTCTTCAGAAAGAACAAATAAAGGGATTGTTTGGAAAACCAGATTAACAGAAAAAAGATAAAAACATACTGGTCTGGGGAAGCAGATCACGAGGCAGC